CAGCACCTGGGTTCAAGCCCTGGTCAAAGCAACATCGCAAAAAATATATAGAAAAAGTTTTTTTGTTAACAGCGGTCGTCCCTCGGCAGGCAATGGCAAACCTCCGAGTGTATTTCTGCCATGAAAAACAGCTTCTCATAAAAATACAATCGCCGTTTGGAGTCGGCGTAAAACTGTAGGTCCCTCCGCTTTGTGTGACAACATCAAAGCGCACGCCACAAATCGGAGAAGAAGCTTGGCCAAACACTAACATATGTGTAAGCGCCAATCTATTATTATTATTATGTGTTGTTTGCCGCTATAGCGAAAGAGTTATATACAACTTTCTACAAGGAGCGCGATGAATTGCCAAATGAAATGTGAAATGTCATAACTGGGCACTTGGTAAATCACCTGAAATCTTTGTCAGAATATTTTTCGGATGGTAGTAGTAATATCGCGGAGAAGCTCGGCCAAACACTAACATATGTGTAAGCGCCAGTCTATTATTATTATTAGTAGTAATATCGGTTTGGTACAAAATCCATTTACAAATCATTCATAGATCTCCAGAGTACTTCCACATTGAAACACACATTTGAATCTGTGTCTCTGAAAGAGTTTTGGGTTAGTGTTAAGAGTAAATATCATGAAGTCGCTAAAAAGGCTATCTTAACTTCCGTCTGTCACAACGTCAACAATNGTTTCAACAAGATGGCGCTACATGCCACACAGCTCGCGATTCTATGGCCATTTTGAGGGAAAACTTCGGAGAACAATTCATCTCAAGAAATGGACCGGTAAGTTGGCCACCAAGATCATGCGATTTGACGCCTTTAGACTATTTTTTGTGGGGCTACGTCAAGTCTAAAGTCTACAGAAATAAGCCAGCAACTATTCCAGCTTTGGAAGACAACATTTCCGAAGAAATTCGGGCTATTCCGGCCGAAATGCTCGAAAAAGTTGCCCAAAATTGGACTTTCCGAATGGACCACCTAAGACGCAGCCGCGGTCAACATTTAAATGAAATTATCTTCAAAAAGTAAATGTCATGGACCAATCTAACGTTTCAAATAAAGAACCGATGAGATTTTGCAAATTTTATGCGTTTTTTTTAAAAAAAAAGGTATCAAGCTCTTAAAAAATCACCCGTTACAAAAAACAGATTCAGGTCGAAATCGGATGCTACGCCAGAAATGCGCATACAGCTTTTAGACCTATATCGAACTACTATTTTATACAATAATTACTAACAGTGAAACAATTTCATTCTTCACATTAAAATTTAAAGTATGTATGTATACTATTTCTAGTAAAAGTTTTTATTCATATTTAAATTGCTCTACCTTGGATTTTTAGTAATTTGATTTGGGGTTCTATAAAATGAAATGTGGTCAGTAAGGGTTCCATCATCTTAAAAGTTAAGGAACCCCTGATATACACTAATGCTAGGTTATTTAAGATGGCAATGGAAATATGCCTTCTGACAACCACCAAACCTTAATATTAAAAGGTAAATGCGTCACTGAAAATTATGAACGTCACTGTTTTTGAAAATGTTGTGCCAAAATGTTTCAATACAAAAAATAAATTTTGGGCGGGACGAAGTTCGCCGGGTCTGCTAGTATATATATTTAAATGTACGGTTTTTGGCATAGCTGTGGTCTGTGTTTTTTAACGCCTGATTGGTTTTTTCGTATACTTTTCAGGATTATCCTGATGATGAACCTTATAGAGACTCCAATGAACAGTTTTCAAGTGGACCGGGTGATTTAACTAATCAAAAATATCGGGAGCTAGGCACCATGCAAGCTGTGCAGCAATCTCGAGACATATACATGCACCGTCAAAGTAAGTAAAGAAAAGGGGGAGGGGATGAAATAACACAAACGGCAATAACGCAAATTTGTGTTATTTCCCAGTTGAATGTGAAATGAAAAAAAAATTGCTTTATTTCATTTCTCGTTGAACAATAAGACCAACTTTTAAACTTAACAATTGAGTAATAAAGCAAACTAGTGCACATAGGTAGTTACTCAGTTACGTTTGTCAAAAAGTAGTACATAAACAAGTTAAATGGACGGATTTGTAAGTATAAGATTTTGACACTGCCTTATTTGAAAATATTCCTATAAAATGTGATCAAATAAAGCGAGAAAGCGGATTTATTACTTCACCTGTTTATTGTTAATTTTTATTAATTAATTTGTAAAGTTTTACATATTTTTACATCACTATTTCGTACCACATGTTCGCTTCGTCTGCGTAAACGAAATCCACGGTTCGGATATAGTGAACGAAGTGATGATAATGCAGAAATTTTAACTGAAAATAAAACTGAAACAATATTCTCTATATATACATATGTTTGCTGCGAACAGGAACGGCAACTTTTGCTTGTTCCATGCCATGGCGGAATTATTCCAGGTGAAGTAATTAGAGCGAGAAGAAAGATTTTGACACTGCCTTATTTGAACAATAGCTTTTAAAATTTGACTATAAGGCAGCCGAATGTCAGAAAATAAATCGAGAGAGCTGTTTTATTACTTCAGCTGTTTATTGCGCCATGGTTCCATGCACATATTTTAATGTTTTCCAGCAATGTTTTCAATATATTAAAAAGCATTCAGATAAAATTCATACAAAAGCGCTATGTCCAATTTGCCAAGCAGTTATTAAAGACGACGCTTTCCCTATATTTTGTTAGACTCTCCATAAGTAAAAATATTTTGTCAATATTACTTTCTCAGATATTTCACCCATTTCTCACCATGATAGGTTAAAAGGCGTATTACCTTTTCAAAAGCATTATTAAATACTAGAGAGAATAAAAATATGCGCAAAAATCCCGTTTTAGGCGCTTAAAATAAGCACTAAAATATGCTCAATAAAAATTAAAAATATGCACGATAAAATTCCTAATGTTATCTACTGTTATAGAACAAATGCTTTTATTTCAGTGTCAGTCTTACAATTCCCATCGCATCAAGCAGTCGCATCGGCTGCGTTTCACCGAACTCATTTAAGTGGAAATTATTTTTAATTTAATTTTTTATGTAATTCTCAATTGAATTTTCTTTAGATTCAAGCTCCTTATTTAAGTTAGTGAAAATGTCGCAGCACCGTGCTAAAAGTGGTAGTAAAAGCAGGGCTCGTATACAAGTAAACAGCTGATACACAATATTGTAGTGGGTGGATGTATATTGGTCAGCTGATTAGACGTGTGACATCTCTGAGTGTGGTTATTCTTATTTAATTGAAGAGCATAGGTTGGAGTGCAATGGGGTATAGTCGTTGCGTTGCGTCCTCGTTCGCGCACTCTGGGCAACGTGAGCAACCCATGTGCGAGATGCGGTAACCAATCCGAGTGGAGCCTTGGGTCACGGCAGAAAGAGAGGGAGCTTCGGTGGGGCCACTCCGACTTATTTGGTTTAAGGGCTCACTGAAGTCTGCAGCGTCTGTTCACCAGTAGGTGCGGCTGCAAGCGGGTATCTGCTTGGAGCAAGCGGCTCGCTATATAAACGTGTATTTGGTTGCGAAACCACCCTCTTCCCAGCAATGGGTTGTGCGCTGGGCTTGGGACCCGTCACGTAAAAACCACTTCCAGTGAAGAAGCCAGTAGCCGTGGGTAACACAGTGCGGCGCCGCGCCATTGCGCTGATACCGAGAGCTGAGTTACTGGCGCCGATACCGATTGTCACAACTTAGTGACGCAATGGCGCCAGCAACACCGGAACACTGACAACACCGGGCGGCGCAAATAACCAGCAAAGAACACACAAAAGCGAAGTGTCACTTGTAAAATGTGCAGCACAAGGCGAATTTTTACAAGGTGGTGTTGCTAAAATTACCCGCGGTCCTTCTGAGTGTGAAAATTATTAGTCTGTTCCAATAGCAGTCCGGTTTACAGGATTTAGTCAGAACTTACAGGAAGTCGTTCCTATTGACATAAAACCTGTAAGTGGAAACACATTTGAGAGAGTAACTGAGCAACTGTTCCTAGTCAGAAGTTACAGGATTTAGTCCGGAGTTTTTTTTCCTGTAAGTTCATGAAAAGTGTCAAACGATCAGCTGATTTACATGTGCAAACAAAAACAGAAAGCGGTGAAAGCAAAGAACCTTATATTTGTTAAAAAATGGAAGTAAACAACGAAATATTTGAATATGTATAGATTTTAATAATTATTTAGTGATATTTCAGCCAAATCAGTGTAGTACCAATGACATGTAAACAAACCGTCTGACGTTTTTACAGGAAATAGTGCTTTTTGCGTTCCTATGCACTTCTGCATCTGTTCTCCTTTTACTCTCATTTGAGAGAGTAAAATTGTAGTTTGACAGTTCCACAGGTTTTAGTCCGAAGTTCAAAGGAACAGACTATATGTGTTCGTTGTGTTTTTGGGTTTTGAACTTGGGTATACTTGAGTTGTTTTTGTCCAACCGATACCACCTTGTATTAATTCATCTTAGTTGAACACCGGAACTCTGACAACACCGGGTGTCGAAAAGAACCAGCAAAGAACACCCGAAATAGAAGGGTCTCTAGTAAAATGTCCAGCACAAGGCGAATTTATACAAGGTGGTGTTGCTAGAATTCGTCACGGTCCTTCTGAATGTGAAAATCATGGGTTTGTTGTATTTTTGGGTTTTGAACTTGGGTATACTCGAGTTTTTTCTCAACCGATATAACCTTGTATTAATTCACTTTAGTGCAGCGTGCATCAATAAAGGAAATGAGCTTTAGCCATTGCGCCAACACACTGTGCAGATTCCGTCAGCGGCGCTGGAGTTAGTGTGTCAGCGCCAAAAAATTTGCGCCGTTACCTAGGCCTAGAAGCCAGGCAAAGCCTCGGATGAGACCCCCCTTATGATGACGACCACGGCAAACGTTTAAAGCACTACGGTTTGAGGGCATGCACCTGGAATGTCCGGACCCTTAATGGGGAAGGTGCCTCTGCCCGGCTGGTTGATGTCCTCGTAAGGACCAAAAGCTGACATCACCGCTATCCAAGAAATGCATTGGACGGGGCAAGGCAAAGAATGTCTGGTGCTTTGCGACGTCTAATACAGCTGCCATGTAAATGAGCGCAAATTCGGAGTTGGATTTGTGGTGGGAGAGAGACTCCGTCGCCGAGTACTGTCGTTCACCCCGGTGGACGAGCTTCTAGCCACAATCCGCATCAAAGCGAGATTCTTCAACATCTCGCTCATCTGCGCCCATGCCCCGACGGAAGAGAAGGATGAGGCATCCAAGGATCTCTTCTATGAGCGCTTGGAGCGCACGTACGAGCGCTGCCCCCGTCATGATATCAAAATCGTGCTTGGCGACTTCAATGCCAGGGTGGGCAAAGAAGGGATCTTTGGAACCACCGTCGGAAAATTCAGCCTCCACGACGAAACGTCCGACAACGGATTGAGGCTGATCGACTTCGCCGGGGCCCGAAACATGGTAGTATGCAGTACTAGGTTCAAGCATAAAAAGATCCATCAAGCTACCTGGCTGTCTCCGGATCGAAAAACGAGAAACCAAATCGATCATGTTGTGATAGACGGAAGGCACGCTTCCAGTGTTTTAGACGTACGCACACTCCGAGGCCCAAACATCGACTCGGACCACTATCTTGTTGCAGCCAAGATACGCACCCGCCTCTGTGCAGCAAAAAAGGTGCGCCCAAATATGCAAGGAAAGCTTAACATCGAAGATCTGCAATCACAACAGACAGCCAGCGCTTTCGCTACTCGACTCTCACACCTGCTCTCAGAGAGCACTCTTCAACAAACCGACATATGCGAGCAGTGGAACCACATTTCCCGCTCATTAAGTACCGCCGCCGAAGAAGTAGTCGGATTTCAGCGAGCCCGAAAGAACAACTGGTACGATGAGGAGTGTCAGGAAGCTGCAGAGAAAAAAGATGCCGCCTACAGGGCCACGCTGCGATCGGGCGCAACGCGTGCTATGTGGGACCGCTATAGGGATCTGAAGAGGGAAGCGAGACGTATTTGCCGCAACAAGAAGAGAGAGGCAGAAATACGTGAGTGCGAAGAGCTTGAAATGCTGGCCGACAGGAGGAATGCCCGAAAATTTTACCAGAGAGTTAGGCGACTTACGGAAGGTTTAAAGACCGGGGCACACTCCTGTAAGAACAATAATGGCGACCTAGTAACTGACGTCCAGAGCGTACTTAAATTATGGTGGTATCACTTTTCCGCCCTACTAAATGGTAGCAGCACGGAAAGTTGCGGAGAAGAAGAACCCGAGCCCGCAGTCGATGATGACGGAGTCGACGTTCCACCGCCTGACTATGACGAGGTACGTATAGCAATAACGCGGCTGAAAAACAACAAAGCCGCTGGAGCTGACAGCCTGCCAGCTGAGCTATTCAAGTACGGCGGCGAGGAGTTGATAAGGTGCATGCATCAACTCTTGTGCAGAATATGGTCAGATGAACGCATGCCCGACGACTGGAATTTAAGTGTGCTCTGCCCAATCCACAAGAAAGGTGACCCCGCCATTCGCGCCAACTACCGCGGGATCAGCCTTCTAAGCATAGGTTACAAGGTCTTATCGAGCGTATTGTGTGAAAGACTGAAGCCCACCGTCAATGAACTGATTGGGCCTTATCAGTGTGGCTTTAGACCTGGCAAATCCACCATAGACCAGGTATTCACAATACGCCAAATCTTGGAAAAGACCCGCGAGAAAATCGATCGACACTCACCTCTNAACACTCATAATAATGTCAGCATTGAAATCCAACGTAGAATCACTCTTGCCAACAAGTGCTACTTTGGAATGAGTTGGAAATTCAGGAGTAAAGTCCTCTCTCGACTTACGAAAACCACGCTCTATA